GAAGATTTTGGTTGTGGAGGCTGGTATTCCATTTTGTGCTGGAATCCGCTGTTTTGTAGAGCTTGTTCGTAGTCAGAGGCGGCCTGGTGGAATGATTCACTAAAATCAGATATATTGGATATGCGTCTGTTAATAGATGCGGGAATTTGTTTCAGGATAGATGGGGGATGGTTGGATTTGCTGTTGACGTAGAGTAGTTGGTTGTTTGGTTTGCTGTAAGGCTTGAAGGTTATACACATCTAGATGTGTATAAGAGACAGTATATATACAGTGTATATATAATTGATGAAAAATGAAAAACCGTTATATATACGAAAGTATAATAAAGATAGATATAATATTTTTCCTCATTTTATCGCATTGTCTTGGTGATGAACTGTTCATGACAGCGAGGCCATCATCTCGGTAGAGACCGACGTTGGTTTTGCCGAGTATTGGGATGAGGGAGGAGATGACGAAGGATCCGACAAGTTCGCATATTTCGGCCCCGTCGAAGCTTCCCATTGTAACGTCAAACATGTCATCCGAGTTTTTCTTGGTCCATGTTGAATCGTTACCAAACAATATTGATTTTCGGGAGTGCAAGATGACATTTGTTTCGTGTTCGGAGATGCTGGTGTACTTTCGTGCGTACTGGATCGCATCTGTTAACAATTTTTTTGTGATGGATGGGTAGAATTCCACGATATCAAAGGAGATGAATGTGCTGCTTGATTTGTATGGGATGTGTTTGAACCATTCAGTGACAGCAGCGGTGTTTTTCCATTGGTTCATTCGGGTTTTTGTGAGCAGGTCACGGTTTATCCGGTCGAGGATTGTCTTGCTTATGAGTCCGGTTTCTGATTTTGATGGGTTTATGAGTCTGCAGCTTGGTTTATTTAGGAAGTTTTCTTTATGATCTTTGAGTGTTATAAAAGCCTCTTTTTCAGCAATGGTTTCCCTTGTATTCTCTCACTCCTGAAGATTGCATTAGCATGAAACAGTCTGTAGAGTGATAATACCCAGTTCTACAAGTTCTACATTTTCAATACTTTCAATATTTGCTGTTTTATGGGTTTTTCCCATTTGCCTTTTAAAATTTATATATTCTTAAAGAATCTCTATTGAGATCCAGCGGGCCGCCACTGATGCACGGTAGAGATTGTATCTTTAGATCTCCGATCTTGTTCACAAATTCACGGACTAGTGCTGTCTCGTAAGAATCTCGTAGGACGCGTTAAGAATGACAAAATATTCTCTGTATCTACTGGAACCGAGCCACATAGCTTGAATTCCACTATTTGCATTCACACCTGGGCTGTGTATATATATTGCCTTGGTTTGGCTCTGTAATCATTAGTGGTCGTGGGACTAGTTTGGGCCCTACCTAGGCTGGTCGAACGTTTCGTTTGGGTCTATACCCTAGCTACACTGATGAGGCCTAGAAGGCCGAAACGGATCCGTCTGCAGATATTGGGATTCCTTCCAGTGGATGCTTAGTTTATTTTGTCATTCTGATCGGATTTTCTCTACTGTTCCGTTTTAATTTTAAATAGT